AATAAGCTGAGGAGCTCAGAAATGATAACCACATAAGATATCTATTAAATAAACACTTGATTTAAATAAACAGTTGATGTCATTAAAACAAAGATAAGGAGCATGAATTGATAACTATATGATAGGGAAAACTGTAACAATTATAGCATAGAATTAATTATGAATTAATTATGGGTTCTCAAGACAAAGAAGCCACAGTGCTTTTTATGTAAATTTGTCGTTGAGAATGTCACAAAATTACCATATTGTGATCATATATAGCAATGACATACAACTCACTAAAGTAGTAAGAAGCTTTGAGAAAATATATTGGCTGAAGTCAGATGACTATTGTCAACTAACTTTCAGGTTACAAAGAGTTCATTTGGAAATCAAAACCAAATTGATGTTATATTCCCTCTCAACCTACTGGGTATCCCTTTCATCAATGAAATCAGTGATGACAAACACCTCCCTTCCTTGAGTGTTTGTTTGCAAGTATTAAAGAGGTCAGTGTCAAGCGGTGCTCATGCATCGTAAGTAGGCGTGATATTGTTTGCCAATAAGCAGTCACATTCCTAGTACTCACTATTGTAACCAACAACACTTGTAGAAAATCGTGACCACAAATCTTTTAATAGTTCATATTGTACACGAGTCAAATGAGTGCTGCAAAGCATACTGGGAGGTGGGGGTGAATGATTTGTAATCCTTGGAGGAGAGAGAGAAGGTTTCCACATGAGTATTGTGTAAATTTGTCTGTTTTTTATATTCAAGTTCACTGATTATTTGATTTCCCAAATCTTTCAAGCCCCCACTGCCCTTTGTAGATAAGTCTCATCCCTTGCAGAACAAATTCTCATTCTCATCAAATAAATAATAAATCATTAAATTAGAGCCGCAATCTTGTACCTCATTTTTGATTGGTGAAAACAAGTTTGGATTTCACTAGAAAAAAACGATTGCTCATGCATTTTTTTTGTTCTGATAATATTTTTGCTGGGTCATGTGACAAACTAGATTCAGGCTGGACTAGAGCATTTTTTATACACCCCAAAAACAAACAAACTTTTCTCCATTCACTTACAATACAGCTGTATACAAATATTGGAAAAGTCATTCAGGATTTAAGAAGAAGAAAAAGTTGTGACTCAGAGAAAATTCAAACAAAGAAAATTGATCTTTTAAACTTATCAATGCTTGATTTTGTAGATTTCAAATGAAAGGAGTGAGTTAGGCAGCCATATAATTGCTGAAGTAGTATGACACTGCAAATGTCAACTTAAAAAAACAAAAATTTGTTCAATAAATCATGAGTGGCAAAAACACAACGCTGTTTTCATTTCAGAGAATCGCCCCTATCATAAATTATTAACTCGAATACTATCATTTTAGAACGCATGTACTGACCACTACTTTTTGAGTCAGAGCAATTTAACAATCCTCACATGGTTTGCTGAAACACTTATTTCCACTTCACCTACATTGTCAACAACAAACACTTGAGTTCAAGTTCGGTTTGTTTGACTATAGTCGGCATATCGGTTTCATGCATTTCTCCAGAGTCCATTTGTTCCAGTAATCTGAAACCAACGTTTTTTTCTTCCAAAACTAACTTTCCAACCTTCCCACTAGACTTGAATGAAACCGACTAACAGGTGTGATTGCACAGTCCGTTTTCATCACCACCAGATGCGAATATTTATGAAAAGAAATGAATCACTAAACTTGTTCATGAATTTTCACTTCAATTTTCAAAAACATCTTTGTTTTCTGACGCTGAAATTGACAATGCAGTCAAATGTGCCCAGGCAGATGAAATGCAAAACTGACTTTCAGGCAGTACAAAAAAAGAATGATTAAAAGTTTTTCCCGCCAAAAATGATTTTGTCGTACTTCTACAATCACTTTGTTAATCTTGGACCAAATGAACATAGTTTCCCATGTGCTGCTATTTCTGATCAAAATTTTAAAAAAAATAAGGAAACAAATATGACGGTTTATTTATTAATGTGAGATGTGACGTTGCTCAGTGCCGAACACATTATCTTTCGAGATTAAAGGTGGAAAAAAGTCCATGTAATCAAAAGTCAATATCAAAGAGTAAAAGTCAAATAACTTTTTATATTTTAAAGCTTTTTCTGCATTATTATCCATCTAAAAATATATCGCCATAGTTATATTATTAAATGATTTTAACCTTGGAAAATCTTTTTATTTGATTAGTCAGTAGTAATCTTTATTCATAATACAAAATTCAAAACGTAACCTTAGAATTTTATTTCATACACCCACTTCATACATTCCTTTTTTCCCTTTAATCAATATTTTATAAATTCCCATATTGTATTTAACATCTTTAAATGTACAACTACATCGTACATTGATTTATCAAGCACATGGCTATTAGAGTGAAGACCCCGAGAATACTCAAATCCTACACCCACTGTGATGATATTTCTCATAGGAGCTGAAATTTTGTTGTCTGACACTCCCCTGTGGCTCATTATTAAACAGAGAAAACCAGCCTGACATCTTCAAAGTTGATGCAAGCCGGCTAATTAAAATTAGTGAATGTATTATTCTACATCACAAAATGTATAATTCGCCGAATGTGAAGTTCCAAGCAGATAGAAATCAATACATTTTGAATCTCACTGTATACACACTAGTATGAAAAAATACATATTTACTCTAGCGACTGTATTTTTATTCTTTTCACCAAAAGTTCATCACAAATTCACAAAATAGTCCAGTTTATAATCTGCACTTTCCTTCAGAAGATTAGGACAAAAAAAGTCAAATATTTGAGTAAGAACTGAAAATTGACTAAAATTTTGTCTGTTGGCTTCAAAAATAGGGTTCATTTCTAGAAATACTGAAGAATATAAGAAAAAAGTGCAGAAAAATTTGGGCAAAAAAGTCTGGTGGTGAAAAGGTTGAAGCCTTCAGTAAAGGTTCCATGTAGTATCCCATCATTCAATGGCATTAAACTATAGCCTATAGCCATCAAATGTAAAACTAAATTGATGTACACAAGTATAATATTATGTCTTGTTTTATTTGTATCAACTTAGAACAAAATCAGTCGGTGGGGTAGATGGGACCCAAATTAATAGTCACCATTTTTGCATTAAACTATTACAGGTAGGTTATCACCTCCATAAAAACAGTTTCTATGCATTGAATAAAATTAGCTTCACTCTTACCTTAGTTGCCAAGTGAGTGGCCTGCCCATGTGAACTCATTAATTCCATTGTATTGTGACAGCCCACAAACAGTCTTGCTAAGGAGTGGAGACTCCTATTCACTGCTTCGATCAGTTTCTCTTTAGAATGAGCAGCGCTGCTGACCAATACTTTGGTGCACGTTGCAAACTCTTTTGCCTCATTCATTAAAATCTGCTTGCAATCGTTGAACTGTTCTGACTCTTGTTTCTGATTGCCAAGATCCATATCAGTTGTGACAACCGCATCAAGCATCATGTCCAAGTCGGAAATTAACACAGCAATGTCCTGATGTGCAGTTTCAACTCCATCTTCAATACTGTATTCTCGATTTTCGATAAGAGTCGCAGTGCCCATAGGCGATTTCCCAATGATCTCAGACTCCTGTGTTAAGATATTCACGACGTTTATATCTGTGGCGAACAACTCCGCTTCATCGCGCTTCATTAGTTTGTCAACCGGCGATAACGGAGGAGAAATCGGGGGTGAGCTGACGGGTAAGGGTGGTGGTGGTGAATCTGGGGGGGATTGCTTTGGCACAAGAGAGGGTGAATTTAAAGGAGGTGAAGTAAGAGGAGGAGGAGGTGGTGGGGGGGAATTTGGTTTGATCGGTGATGACAGATTTTTAGGTTTAGGAGGAGGTATGGGTTTCATTGGTATGGAGTGTCTTCTGGGAGGGACTGGAGGTTTTACAGATGATGAAGATATTTTCTCTGGCTTAGGGGCAGTAGGAGGCTTTTCTGGTGAGACAGGATTACTGATTGACCTCTGTAATGGAGCTCGGGATAGTTTTAGCTGTTCTTGTGACTCAAAGCCATGTGACATATCTTTGTCCTGCACCTTGCACACATTTGTTGGTGCTTCTCCATCGCTGTGCTCACTTCCACTTGAATTTCTTCTCTCACTCGATAGCGATAAAAGTTTAAATGCCTTCAACGGACCATGCTTCTTCTCGCTGCTACCACTCCCAGCAGGCACACCACTGGTTTGTCCAGCCACTGGCCGGAGAGAAACTCTTTTCAATGGTAGTGATGTACGCAATGTAGGTGATCCCTTAGCCGGAGGTACTGCTTTGACAGTTTTCATTGATGAAGACGTTCTAACGCCAGTTGATGACGGGCTTGATGGTGCACTAGCTGAATCTCCGCTAGGGGCGACTTTCGATGTCCCTGCAATTCCTGAGAACATATTACCAAATGTATTGCCTTTTAATAATGGTTTGCTGTACCTATCTTTTGTGGTATCATTTGCATTTACGTTCAGTAAATCAGATGGATTGTAAAACAAGGCATTGCTCTGCAAACCCCTACTTCCACGGCTGCTGAAGCTGTTACTTCTCCTCTCTGACCTAGAGGAATCAAAACTCCATCGAAGTGACGAAGTTCGTGATACAAGTGATGCATCATCTTCACTCTCATTATCCGACTTTGCAGATGTTGTAAGTGTTTCATCGCTACTAAATGTTCTTATAGACTTTGCAAGGGGTGACGAGGATCTGACGTTGTCATCCATCTTGGAATCTTTCGGTTGATAACTAAAATCAAATGAGTAACTTTTCCTAGCAAGAGACGGTGAAACATAGCCCTTTTTCCGAGACACCCTGGATTTAACAGATATTTCAATTTTGTTAGGTTCGCTATTTCCTGAAATGTGATTAGATTTATCAACAAAATCTGGAGTGTGTGAATGAGATTTTTCTCCTGGTTTGATGCTGTGATTAGATTCAACAATTAGTCCGGGTAAATCAGTACTGGACTCATCATTCTCATTTACTTTGTTTGCACTACAAACTATTAAATCCAAATCTGTGACATGAGAATTGTCAGGCTTATCACGCTCAGTATCAAAAACATATTCCGTTTCTTTAACTTCAGATGTGTCAAACAGCGGAGGCGGAGGAATGAATTCCATCTCCTCTTTGTTGTCAGGGAAACCAAATCCTTCAGGAGGTGCTATGACTTCCTCTGTATCGAGCACATCATCTTCAAAGATTAAAGGTGGAGGTAAATCCTTGAAATCAAAGTCAATATCATCCTCCGACAAGAGAGGGGGAGGTAGCACAACATCCAAAAATGAATCATCTGCAAATTCAGAATCTGGTGGAGGAGGTAGGACAATATCCTCCATCACGTTTTTGATTTCTAATGAGTGTTCTGGGATGTTTTGCATTTCCCCAGTAGCCAGCACTGGGGTTTTCTGCCTGGAAATTAAATTCATGTAATCAGACGGGGAGTGGCTACATTCTACATGTTCCCCACAACCTGTAATCTCAATCGTCTCAGACGATACAGTTTCATTTCCAGAATCAGATTCAACATCATTTTGTTCCTTGACGTCAACCTCGACTAGTGCATCGATTGCCACATGTTGTACTCTATGCGTTTCATCAGGTACAGTTACAGGAATATCTGGAGGTGCCAACACAACCTCCAGGGTATCCAGATTGCTTGATTTCAGTTGCGGTGCATCTTCCAAAACTGGAGATGGTAAATCAATAACAGAGACCGGAATTTCATCAACAGTGTCAGTGAATTCCAGAGGTGGAGCTGTGACTTCTAAATTTTCCAGGTGCTCTTCCGCAGTTTCTATAAGAGGGGGTGGAATTCTAGTCAAATCTATTACATCACTATTGATTTCTGGAGGTGTGACATTCATTTCACTGTCATCATGTTTCAAGGCACTTACATTAATGTTTAATTTCGGCCGTGGAAATATGATAGAATCTCTATTCAAAAGAGAGGTCCTTGAGTTATCCATCATATCGATAACATTTGAGTCACTTGAAGAACAGTCACTATCATCACTGTCTGATTCCTCCTCTTCTTCACCCTCCTCCTCCTCCTCTTTTGGAACATCATCCCAACCTCCATCCCCAAGTATGTCATGCTCAATTCGATCCAACTTCATCAATTTAAAACTCAGCAGTTCAATTCCCCCCTTGCTAGGAATACTTTTAATTGACTCTGTAGCAACTGCGTCACTGATGTCATAATCTTTGCTGAGTTCAAAGGTTGAGAGTTCATCCGTGGGATAGTCCACTTCGGGCAATGAGTTTGTCAGACTCCCTTTGGAGGAGGTTTCTGATACACTATCTCTGTTGATACTCTCCATTGCAGATATTTCTTCAATAACATTGTCTTCCGTGGAGGCACCATCACCTGCTTCCTTCTCTGCCATACACATTGATATGCCACTGTTACAGTAAACAAAAAAAAAAACTATTATTGCAAGTTTAAGAAATAATCTTTCTGCCAAAACTATTATATAATTTCTATGTTTATTTAAAAACAAATAGAAATAATTTCTTAATGACAACAAACATTGATCAGAATTCTCCCACAAGTCGAGAAAATGAGTTAGGTGATATTTTGACAAATACTGTAAAATACTTTATTTCAGCTGGATTTAATTTTTGCTGAAAAAACATTTTTGGTGCTTTGACTGATTTGAATGTAAAATATGGGAAAAAAAGTATATTCGCTAGATTTTATTTTCACTGAATCATTCCTTCAGCGAAAATAGCGAAAATTAATTCCAAGCAAAAATAAAGTATTCTACAGTATTTATTTTGCTGCTCAAAGGAATAATGCTAAAAGCAACATATGTTGAAACCAAAACCTTGTACAGTAAAAGTGAAACCTCTCTATACTGAGAGTCTGTTGAAACCCAACACTGGTTGCAGATCCTTAATCACGGCTTACAATGGTGTTTTTTCTTACTATTCAAGTCTTATTCTGAAGTACAAGACAAGCATTCCACATAGTAGTGCGCCCTCTAGAAGCATACAACACATAATGTAATAGAACTAAACTGAAGAAAAATATTTTCCACCAATATGGTTATTTTCAGAAATAAATAAACTATATTTATAAATATTCCATAAATTGTATTTTTTTCCACCAACACATTTTTCATTTTGTCAAATGACAACAAACAAAACACACAGAGGGAAAGGTCACTAAAAATTAGAAATTAATTATGAATAATCAATTTCAGAAGTGTGATAAATGAGACAGCCATATGGAAAGAAAGACATAAAAAACACACACACGATGATTCATAGTCACGGAGCAATAAGTGTCAGCGCCTGGCCGTGTGGTTTTTTCATCGATCCCATTGAAATGTTGATGATGCATTTGATGATGACGTCCTCCCATTTTTCTCGTTGAATCAATTGATTTCAATTTGTCAAATGGTCTCTGATGTTTTAGGTATAATTAACGACGAGCCAAAGGAATGTTTTAACAAGGAAGTATATGATTTGTAGAAATGCACATAAATCATTCAATGTCTCATTACTGGATTAATAATGAAAATGACAGTTCTAATCAGGGAATGATCATTGGCAGACAGGTGGGGGGGGTGTCACTATTGAGTTTCTAATGGTGAACCTTTTATCAGTGTTTTTTGTTTTCTTATTAGTACTATTTTGTATTAGTAGTTTCCAATGCAAGGATGCATTGGTACGTGAAGGTATTTTTGGTAGACTCTCTGTTTCATGTCAAATAGGCCTTTTTTTAGGGGGGGGTGTTGATATCAAGAAAAATTTCTAAACCATTTAGGGTAAATTGTCATTGAAGTTAAAAAACAGTTTAACATATTAAATTTAAGATGGTTTTGGAAATTACTGCTGTTGCAGAACAATGGTCTTCTGAAAGTGCCAAGATGAGCGACCTTTAAGGTTGTGTATAAGTTAGATCAATTCACCTTCAAATTCTGCATAAACTTGCATCCAAACAAAAAATAATATTTCAAAATTTTATTAAAAACAGGCAAAGTTAAAAAAATATCAAATAAATGAATTTACCTATTTATAAAAGGGATGTCCTCTTCATAGTGTGGTGGTCCTCGCACTAAGTCAACAATATATTCTCCATCTTGAGAATTTTTTGGATCATGGTAACCAGGGATGATGACATCATTGTCATCACTGTCCTCTTCTTCCTCTTCGGATATCAACTGCGATATCAAGTCAGTCGGATAACTCCACTCGGCGGCTTGTACCCTGTGTTTGCCGTGATATTGAGGAGCTAATGAAATAAGATGGATACGGTGAGACACGAGGTCGAAGGTTGATGCAACGGTGTACTGTCTGAGTGCATACTTTGAGGTATCCTCGTAATAACCTTTTTTCCTTCCAAGGATACACCATGGGAGTGCCGAAATCCAAAATGTTTAGAACAGAATCAGCGAACTTCTATGTGTGGCGTCCAGTCAAACCCTGGTGGCAGCCATGTTTGTTTTTATTATTAGAGGATACTTACGCTTGTAATCATTCCATATTTGGAATTCGCATTTCCTCATATGGTAGGATGAAAATACTCACAGTAAAAGCGTTATGGTGACAGATGTTTAATAATACCAAATAACTCACCTTCTTGTTCTTTTTTTGATAAATGTGAATCAATTGGAGGCAGGATACATTTATCTCTATTGACTAATATTTTGTAATAACCGCTAATTAGACACGCAAAGTCCCTGGCTTCTGCACTTTGCATGATAAGATGTACAGGCTGAAAAATGAAAAATAACACAAAATGTTGATTTTTTTCACTGGTATACTCACAGAGCCCCAGTGGTATAATCCCTTGACATAGTTTTATTGAAGATCAATTTCTAATTTTAAAATTTTATATAAAAACAATATGTTATAATTTCAGCAGAAAAAAAAAATCATACCTTCATATCATCCAATTTCAACTCCACATTTTGCATTCCATCATCACTGTGGTTATAGACATTAATGAAAGTCACATGACTGAAATCAGCCAATAGAGACATCACATTATTCTTTGTATTAATCACATGACTGATACCACATTTCGGTCCAACTAAAATATTGACTTCGGATCTTTTTTCACCTTCATTCTGCAAAATCAAGATTTCAACAGTACATTCAAAATAAGGTTGTAAAATCTCATAGTGATCAAAATATCTTCTCTGGTCATTTCATAAATAAACAAACATACTTGATCTCTGAGGGGGTAAAAACAAGATGACATGAAAATATTTTGCTCCCTTAAAAGACTACTTAATCATTTGAGTAGATGTACATTTAAGCACAGTATGTTTGTCGTGGTGTTCAAGGACTTTACCAGTTTGGATAGACTTTCATTGTAACTTGAAAGTTAAAAGATCCTTTCTGGGTGGGACAGTAAAAAAAACAGCCTCCTTGTAGAATAGTTGGTATTCAAAGAAACATTATTGACATCAAATAAATACAGCATTTTGATCATATCACTGTAGTATTTACAAATGCAAATATCAATTCATGGCAGTGCTTGCTAGAAAGCCGTCGCTTTTAAGAGGAACTGTTTTTGGCTTGTCTATTTGGAATGAAATGAGATACAATAATCGGGAGTACTAAAAAATTATCTTGGGTAATTGTATTGCATAACTGCAATGGTTGGTTACCCAGCATAACTGCAATGGTTGGTTACCCAGCATAACTGCAATGGTTGGTTACCCAGCATAACTGCAATGGTTGGTTACCCAGCATAACTGCAATGGTTGGTTACCCAGCATATGCAATGGTTGGTTACCCAGCATAACTGCAATGTTGGTTACCCAGCATATGCAGGTTGGTTACCCAGCATAACTGCAATGTTGGTTACCCAGCATACTGCAATAGTTGGTTACCCAGCATAACTGCAATGGTTGGTTACCTAGCATAACTCCAGTGGTTGGTTACCAGGCATAACTCCAGTGGTTGGTTAACCAGCATAACTGCAATGGTTGGTTAACCAGCATAACTACAATAGTTGGTTACCCGACATAACTGCAATGGTTGGTTACCCAGCATAACTGCAATGGTTGGTTAACCAGCATAACTGCAATGGTTGGTTAACCAGCATAACTGCAATGATTGGTTACCCAGCATAACTGCAATGGTTGATTACCAACATAACTGGTATGGTTGGTTATGTTTTTTAATCCTTGAATTAGTTACCATGATAACAATAACAGCTTGTTAGCTTTGGTAACAAGTGGTGGTGGATGTTTAACCTGGATAACATCAGTAGTTTGGTAACATCGGTGGTAAGTTACCCTGGGTAACATCTGTGGTTGGTTACCCCAGGGTAACATCAATGGTCTGGTTACCCTCAATAACATCAGTGGTCTGGTTACCCTCAATAACATCAGTGGTCTGGTTGCCTTGGGTAACATAGGTGGTTGTTTACCCTGGGTAACATCAGTTGTTATGTTATCCTGATTAACATGGTTAATCTTGTTAATGAAAACCTCACTTACCATGAGAACTGCAGTAAAGTATCTTCCACCAAAAGTTTTCAATTCACTCACTATCTTCAGATAATGAAGTTTTACTTGCAGCGCTGTCAGATGCTGAAAGAATGGTTCAATAGTAAGATTAGAGAATCTGATGTTGGAAACCAATTCATATTTAGATATATTTACTAATTCTTGAAATCCCTACACCACTGACTGCTACAATATCACATAGAAGCCTCAAATAGTAATACCAACAAATTACCTTTTGTCCGGGGGCAGCAAGATTTTGATTCATTTTAATAAAGTGGTTCATTGCCCTTCTAATGTCTTTAACCTTGACACCTTGTAATAATGATTGTGGTAGAAATTTACTAAGACCACACTCTTTCCTGCAAAAAAGAAAACACTTGGTTTGAAATTTAAGGTCAATGTGAGTTCCCAGATTAACAAACAGACTTAAATGAAATCAACTTTGAAACACAATACAAATAAGTATGCAAACAACATAGACAATATGGATTTTAAGACCGGGTCTCAAGACATGAGCCTTTAAGCTGATATACAAGCAACTGTAAGTTCTATTAGAATTGCAATAATATATGGACAATTCAACAGTTCAAGACACTGCATAAGGTGCTGATGTAGATTATGGCTAGTCACTGACACTGATTCCGTAGATAGACATTTCATTCAAAAGCAGACCATACCAGTTAACCATACCTGGTTCAAGATTGATGTGTATTCCTAATTTTTGTGGTACATGTATAATCTCATAGCTGGGAGCACTATGTTTTAACTGCATCTCAAAGTACACTTTTATGCAAAACAAACGATTCCTATTTTTTTTTCAATAAATTTTACAAGACATGACGCACAGTTTCTAAGCATAACTCAGTGACCGAAGACTCTCACTATTGAAGACAAATTTTAAGTGTCATCTGACAGACATTCAGCAGCAAGAACCACTGGGATGCTTCACTGAATCCAGTATTTATATTAGATAACACAAATCACACGCTGGGACAATTTTGTACAACAACAAAAAAATATCAATATATGTAACGAACACTCTCTCTCTCATCCAAGTAGGCTATAAAACACTTGGATTGTTTCTTGAGATGTTTGAGTCGCACAAAAAAACAAACATAATAAATCACTAGAAAAAAAAAACTTTTTTGTATCCTGCTTCTGCTAGCACTGCTTATGCAAGCAATGATTTGAAATAACGCTGATCAAATGTATACCACAAAGCACACACAAACAGAAAGGAAATGGTAAACTATAAAGACATCACGCAATGCATAACAACCACATGGAAACCTAAAGTTCCCCTGGTGTGAAAATAGAATCAACAGTTATTCTATGTGGGTCAGTGACCGACAAGAACCATTTTAAGTTTCATGTTTGCACCAGAACAGCATGCGTATATTGTTCTAACCAACAAAACACGGTTGAGTCGTGTCGATCAGAATCAATACATTCTCAGGTAAATCTGATAAAGTAAATATCGATTACTTCATTCATGTGAGTTCTGAAGTGTTCAGGAAATCATTAAATAATCTGTGAAGAATACTTATTTTATTTTGATTTGCTTCATTGAATGAATGCAACAGAACACATGTTTACAGTTTCTCTGCGTCTTTATCACATCAATAACTTGCAAGTGCTAATATATTGGAAATAGTTTTCAGACCGCTTCAGATTTATATTTTTTTTTGCTTTTTTTCCCTGGATATCACAAATAAGAATTATTTTTAACGATGAATTGTTGATTTAAATTTGTCACAAAATTTATCACGCTTATGCTAGCATCGGACGTCATAATAAATCAGTTTTAGGTTACAACCGATTCTAGACCAAGCTATTTTCTCACAAATCTAAATGCATCTCATTAATTTTATCACATTTTCAGCTTTCACCCAATCATAAACGATGGCTTCACTGATATTCACTACATACAAAGATTGAAACCCCAAATTTTAGGAGAGTGAGTGAGTGTGCTGATTACGAAACAATGATTATACAATATTCTAATATACTGTGAACTTCTTCATTTTTGCAATTTGACAGCATTAATGAAGACAGAATTTGTCGCTGATATTTGTCCATGTCATAGGACACAAGAAATATTTTCACTGCTATGAAGACTTTGACTATTCAAAGACATTTTTATTTTTGAAAATCAATAAATTTAAAAAAAATACACAATAAGCCTAAATCACTTGTAAAATCATCCATTATTAAAACCTACTTTCTGTCTGATATTTGAATGTGATTTGACATCAATTTACTTTTTTTAAAGTAGCTACACTCATCGCAACACACTCAGTTTGACGTCTCAGATATTATTGGAGTGGAGGTAAAAGGAATTAAGATGACTTTTATTACTTTTAAAATCCTTTTTTTTTTCTTTTCTGGACATGGTGATTGAACAGGACTGAATCTAACAATGAAAATTCTGCAAACCGAAAAAAAAAAAGAAAACATTTCATGGAACACCCTTCTGTTCTTTTATTTTTGAATTTTGTTCCAATTGAACGGGAACCATTTTGGATGATTTTCACAAAGATAAATTAGTAGTACCAATCAAAACATTCATGATCACAATATTGAGGAAGACTCTCAGCTGATGACCCTGACAAATGTTGACAGATCCACTCGATGACTTGTCTGGTTTCCAACAATCGTATCCTTGTGGGACCATTAACTATTAACCCAATACAGGCACCAGTGCAGGGCCACGCCTAAATACAAGTACTCTTGAGACAAAATAGAGAGAGTACTTACTCCACAGCCTTAACAGAAACTTTTGCTGATAGCTTGCTGGTCAGTACGTGTTCTTGCATTTGAAGCGCTGCCAGTCGTATTGCGGAATCGTATTTCAATTCTGATCCGTAGCGACCTTCTACCACGTCATTACAACACTGAAAAATTAAATTTGAAATATGAATACAGTTGAATTTATTGTGAGGGAGTTGGGTGAAGGAGATTTTTTATCTTGGGGGGAGGGGGGGGGACTTAAATTTGAACACAGTAGACTTGCAATGACATCATCAGCCTTTACAATGTACAGCACAGCCTCCAAAAGAGTGCCCTCCATAGTTCAAAGAGAGAACTGAATGCAGAGGTGAGGTGAAATAAAACACTATCCTAAGTTAGTTGAGGAATAGAAAAGGGGTTGAGTGTATCCGAATAATATCACCATGCCTATTTATAATAAACAATAATTCCAATATAATCACATGCAAAAAAAAAACACCAAGCCTGAAAATAATTGATTTTCGTAATTACTTTGTGACATGTAGAAGGGCCATTACTTGTTGCTTACATTCATTGACATGTCAGTTATGGGATGATCAGTATGCAATGCGGGTATTTCGTGGGCGTGAATGTGCCATTAATTCTATTACCGTATTTGTTCTATTAGTAGTGAATGAGTTTACACAAATGAGGTATGTTAATGATCAACATAAGTATTCAAATGTCTAGCATACAATACATGCATCTGTTGGTTAACATGCACTTCAATTT